TATGGTTATGTTGTGTGTCAGTTGGTGAACACTGTAAAAATGTAGCTGATCACTAACTTAACGTAATATTAACATTATTAGTTAAGCAATAAACTTAAAATACAAAAAATAAACAAATCAATATATAAATGTATAAAGAGAAAATATGGACAATATAAAGAAAAAAATAAAATGATCAAATAGAATCATTTAAAGATTTAATTCATTTAGAATGTATTTGTTTACTTATTCTATATATTTTAATATATATTTATTTTTTGAATAAATGACTAAAATGTTTTTCTCTTATATTCATTTTGTTGTTACTAATGTGTAATATTTGCCTGCTGTAGTTTCTCAACCCAGATCTTTGTTATATTCTTTATGACAGTACCACCTGAATTTAAAGTCCACTATTCTGCTCATCACTCATAGCCCTCACTACTTTTAGAGACTTTGTTGCTATCCCACGTGCTTATATACTATCAAGTTTCAGTAACGCAGTAAGGCACAAAGCACAGCACGGACATGAGACCAGCCACTAATACCAGAGATATCCTTTTCACTACGTGTTGTATGCATGCATGCTGCCCTGTGAATCCTGCTCTGAATTGGACCGTTGGGTGTGGCAACGTCCCTCAGAACTAAAGCGACACTTTCACGTCACTGACGCATTCGCTTTCCAGCAGCAAGTTTACCCAGTTAAGAGGCTGTGCAAGGGACCATTCTTCAATAGATCTTCCTCAGTGTTAACCCTGACATAGATGTTAGCACCTAAAGAAAACAATGGGTAAAATCACACTCTGCAGCCACAATGTTTAAAAGCGGAATCAATTTGATGTTTGACTTATGGCTAACATACTCATGAACCTAGCACAAAGTCTATTCTTGGCTTGTGGTATACGCATTGGTTGCTATTCAAAAAACCACTCTTTATTGTTATAGGAAACAGTAGATCATTTTATTATTTATTTTATATTCTGTTAAATGATCAAAATGTCTTTCTCACCTGAACAGACAAATCAGCGTCCTCACCAATGCCCACAGTTGTGTGTCCAAATCCTCTCATTGCCGTCTCAGTTAGATGAACTTTCACTTCCTGAACAGGCCACTTATCAAGCAGATTTTCCTGTTCCTGGACAAATGTGGGCTGACTGCAGGGGCACTCAGAGCCGTACCACAGCCCAACTCTCTGCACACCACCTTAGCATCATTTTAAGTTCCCAGTCATTCATCACAGAACTGTTCCCCGAGGTATCACTGTAATAGATTTCAACTCTTCCAGCCCTGAGTAGACCCAGACCAGTTAATCTGATCTGACTGTCTATGAAAGGAAAAGGCAGTAACATATGCCTGTTTTCAATTTTCCACAGCGTATAAATTGATGAACTGCAAGTATTTAACCCAGGAGAATGCACTGCCTGCAGCAGGTGGGAGATAAGTCAAGATAAGAGGAGACTACAGGGGAGAAAAAAGGCATGCCTTATTATATAAGCTGAAACAGGTTGGAATAAAGACAGCCTTTTTGTGATTTAGCTTC